ATACAAAAACTACGAATTCCAAACAACGCATTCGACCTGTTACCCAGCTAGTCTTAGATTAAATATGCTGCATGAGTTACACTACTCCCCCATTAGCTTCTCATAGTGGCATTCAGAAAACCATCCAACGCATACGCGAAGCAGTTTATCTTCCTAAACTGCAAAAGTTAACAAGGGCGTATGGCCGGTCTTACCCAACATGCCAAGTAGTATGTTAAAAGTAGTATGCCAAGTAGTAGGTTAATTATGTTAATTTCCGCCCGGCCGGGTTTCTCAATAGCATTAAATCAGAATTTCCAAATAAAATAATAGGCGTCGATTTATTGGGCCCTTTTCCCAAAAAGTCAGTTAAATAAAAGTCGATATCTCCTTGTTATGATCGACCATTTTAGTAAAGTGGACCGAAATCGTTCCCCTAAAACGAGCCTCCGCGAAATTAGTTACTGATTCTATTTTTAAATATTGTAAGTAATAATTTGAAGACATGTGCCAAAAACTGGGCATACGTCATTTAAAAATGGTCCCGTATCGGCCGCAATCAATATAGCGGAACGGGTCAATAGAAATATAGTGAAAATTATCCGTAGTTATGTTAAAATTTTCATAAAAGCTGGGATAACTATGTCAATGAATTAGCTTTCGCCCTTAGGACCGCAAAACATGATACACCACGGGCAAAACTCCTGCTGAGTTATTTTTTAGGCAGAAAGATTATAACGCCGTTATATAAATTATTTTATGTTCAACAAAGAGCCCCAGAATTTCAAATGGGCTATATAGAAAAATTAATTAAAGAAGCAAAGAAGAACACAGAAGTAGCACAAAGAAAACAAAAGCTGTATTACGACATGAATGTATTACGACGGGGAGTAAATTATAAAGTATGGGATGAATTGTTAAAAATTAAGCATTCACATTCTTCAGCACCAGAATATAAAACTGCCAACTTCTATCCACGATTTGAAGGAGCATTTGTCATAGAAAAGTTAACTCAGGCTGTAGTGGTGCTAAAAGCCAAGAATGGTGAAACATGCACCGCAAACGTTGACCAGATAAAACCATTCTATAATCGTAATAAAATGCCAATATTTAAAGATCTTTTGCAGGATCCGGCACGGCGGCACGGCAGGCACAATCTCCAGAGGCGGCACAACGACAATCACAAGGGCAAGCCATGAGTAGAGAAGTCCATATGAAAAGAAAGTATCCCCGTTAGAAAACTCAGGGTGACAAGAAAAAGAAGCCGTTCCCCCGACCAGAAAAGAGAGAGCACGACCACCCCCAGCATGAAGAAGGGAAAAGTTCTGACTAATGCAAAGAGAGCCAGGAGAAAAATGGCAACCTATAACACGGCTCCAAAACGAAAGATGCTACCCATCGGATAGGAGTTCTACGCAGCAAATGTCGACGAATCGACGAAGGAAAACCAGCTGCAGATGCAAAGAAGCAACAAACGTTTGAACGGACAGCAACGAGATCCAAGCAGGAACGAGAGAGAAGTCTCCCGATTCCGCCATGACCAGCGGCCATCAAACGGCCAAGACCACAGGCAGAGGCGGAAAAGAAGTGGTCTTCAAGGGTGACCGAACTGGAAAGGGAAAAGAAAGCTCCTACAGGAAGGAACTGAAGGGCGAAGTCCGCACAAGAGGGAGGATAAATCAAACACGTAATCTTCGCTACCTTCCAGGTCTGGGCAGTGAAAAGAATGTCCGAATGTCACAAAGATAAGTAAAAGTTTTATGTTACTTTGCAAACTTAAGTTAATCTTTCATTCTTACTGCAGGTGGCAGAATTCAAGACGTTTTACCTCATGTAAGGTCTACCTTTATCGCCAAAAGACGAGAAATGAGTTTTTACCTATTTTGGTATATTTTTTCAATTACTCGCGAGTAAAACTAAAAATGTATAATGAGGAATGTGTAAATACTTGAATTGTAAAAGCATTGATAATCTTTGAGAAAGGTCCCTTAAATTGTAAATGTTATTGTATAAAATTTTAGTTAAAAGTTCTGGCAAGAAAGAATTTTAGTCTGAAAGACTTTTGAAATGTAGTATTTCATGTAGAAGAATTGGCACTTGCTTGGAAAAGAATAGAAGTTAACAATGTACTAGTAATGTATGTTTTTAAATGCTAAAATGAACGGCATGTTAATATGTCCTTATGTACAATGTGAATTGTTATTTTAAAAAGTTAAGAAGTACTGTGATTTGTTAAAAGTGAAAATGTTATACTAATGCCAAAATTTTAACTTATTGGTATGACTGTAAAAAGAGCAAAGTATCGTGAATATGTGCTAAAGGTTGAATGAATGTAGTTAGGCTCTGTAGTTAGGCTGACGCTACACTTCAGAGTTAGCCACTTTTCAGAATATATTTATAATACTTATATTCATCTCAGGGTTCTGAGATGAATATAAGGTGTATTCTGAGGTCTTGTTATGTTGAATTTTAACACGTTAGTGTTTTGATTGTAGGCGTAGTGTTGACCACTTGTACATAAACACGTTCGTGTTTGGTTTTTCTTTACAACACTGTCAGAGAGCACGGGGAGATAATTAAATAACGTCATGAATGAAATAAGAATGTTAAAACAGAATATAAGTATTCATGTTACTTGCCATTAATTGTGTAACATTTCTTAAACTAGTTTTTCTTCCAGATCTCTGGAAGGAAACCAATTCAACCAAGACTCCTGTTTAGATGCAGTACAGATGAAAAAGTAATTGTCCCTGGAGTTGATATGTAAAAACGACTTTTTTTTTTAATTTCTAGTTCTAGTGAGAAATGTTTGTAAAAGATTGGCCTCGCGTTAGATTCTAGAGCTAAAAGTTTTCAACAAGGTCGTTTTAGACTTCAGTTCAAACTAATTAACTCTGGCGGGAAGTATGTAAGGATCCTAAGTTTTACTAACGTTTATTTGTTTTAAATCTTTACTATCACTTCTATTTTCTACTTCCGGCCAGAATTAAAAGCTTTAACTTATTTATGCAAATTTGTCTTGCTAACGCAGACTTAAGTTGTGGCTTTTGCCAAGCAAGAGAGAGAGAGGAAGGAGCTATTAACAGGGCCGCTTGCCATAGTAGTTTTAACTCGGTTGCTGATTGCTTTCAGCCAGAGGTTTAATCCTCTTGATATTTTAAACGTATCGTAGTGTTCAGTTCTCTGTACTACATACGGCTTTTTTTGTTATATACGGCCAATCTGAGTTAGCACTTGTTTGATAATCCAAGTTAGTTTAGTTAGAGTTTAGTTATATTTTTATATTCTTACGTTCAGACCACAAGTGGTTGGTCTCTGTATTCCGAATCCGGAAATCATTGTAAGAGAGAAAAATAAAGGGTTTCGTATACGCTTCCTGTGTGTATTGTCTACTTCCCAAATTTATTGAACATAGCTTAGTAGCTCCTGTTCCGAGTCAGGACAGTTAATGTTCCCAAAGCAAGTAAGGAGGAACACAGAACCTGATAAGTATAGTACGGTATTTAACAAATAGCTATCGGAAGATGTCATAGAAATTGTCCCAAAATAAGTAAAGAATGACAGAGGGCATTGTTTACCACACCATCCTGTAATAAAATTAGGTAGCCTCACTCCCAAGATTAGGCCGGTATTCGATGCGTCGAGCAAAGTTGTTGGTTCACTTTTGCTAAATGATTGCTTGATAAAAGGTCCAAACCTTGTAGAAGAATTTTCAATCATTCTAATGCGGTTTAGGGAAAAGACAACCGGTGTAACATCCGATATTAGGCAAGCCTTTTTACACATTGAGGTAGGATTGAGTGAGGATCAAAATTACTTGAAGTTTTTGTGGTGGGTAAATAACAGAATCGAAGTTTTTCGTCACAAGGGGGTTGTTTTGGGGTTAACTAGTAGCCCCTATTTATTGGCAGCTGTGATTTCATTTCATTTGTCCCACTGTTTCACCTGAATTTATTCAAAGCTGTTGCGAAAAACTTGCCAAATCATTTTATGTTGACAATTGGTGTCACGTCAGTCGATGATGCAACGAAGAGCTAAAAGGTTTTTATGAGCCAGTCGATTACTATTATGGCAGAAGCCAAAATGGATCTTCGAATGTGGACTTTTAATCACATATGGTGATCAAGAGCTAGCAGCTGAAGATGGTGATCCAATCTCCTGCAGTTTCTAGGCTTGCAGTGGGACCGACGAGATGACAGCCTTACAATATCCGTCCAAAGAGAAATCGTTAAAAGAGGTTTATCAAAAAGGAGACTATTGTCTCTAATCCATGCTGTTTTTGACCCGCTGGATTTCTTTGTGCCCGTCATATTACCTGCGAAATTAATTCCTTCAAGATGCTTTGGGCAACAAAATCGAATCTGGGATAAGCCATTACCAGATAAACTTCAAACAAGATTTCCGAGATGGTACGAGAGGTTGTCTAGTCTTTCCCGCCTTAAATTACCTCGTCGCATGGGTCATGGAATTAAGGATTCGTGAACTCTACACGTCTTTTGCGATGCCAGTCAAGCCGCTTATGCAACCGTCATTTACTTAACGAAGTAAGGAAGAAGACAAAGTTTTCGTGAAATTCGTCATAGCAAAATCACGGCGTATCGCCCTTAAAGAAAATAACCTAAAGAAAATAATCCGCGTTTGGAGTTGCTAGACTGTGTTCTAGGTGCACGCTTGGCAAGGTATACTGTTGAAACCCTGTGCTTAGTCGATGTAATTTGCACGCTAAATTTGAAACAACAGGTTCCCCGTGCCCTGAATTTAAATGCAGGTATAACAACAGTGCGTAGTGTTCAAGAATAGTTCAATAGTAGTTCAAGAATAGTGCATAGCGCTCAAGAATTAGCACTAATAAATTGAGCATAATTCTCAAGAATCAGTGTAACCCAAAGTGAATAACATCGCACATTACGGTGGATAGTGTACAAAGCATCAAGTTCTACTGACATAGCAAGTAATTTTTAGCAATAATAGGGACAGCAACTGCTTGTTTTAGCATCAGCAGTATAGTGCATACAAATTAATCATCTTGAAATGACGCGCTCGTTAGCACTCTCGGAAGAAGTCAGCAACAATACGTCACTGAATACAGAGGAAACACTGGAACCAAACCTAACGACACAGAAACGGATAGAAGCCCTAGTTATGGAAATCGCAACATCTCTCAAATCTGTTTGAAGTTTATCCGGTAATGGCTTATCCCAGATCGATTTTGTTGCCCAAGCATTTTGAAGAATTAATTTCGCAGGTAATATGACGGGCACAAAGAAACCTAGCGGCTCAAAAACAGCATGGATTACAGACAATAGTCTCCTTTTTGATAAGTCTCTTTTAACGATTTCTCTTTGGACGGATATTGTAAGGCTGTCATCTCGTCGGTCCCACTGCAAGCCTAGAACTGCGGAGACTGGATCACTATCTTTAGCTGCTAGCTCTTGATCACCATATTGATTAAAAGTCCACATTCGAAGATCCATTTTGGCTTCTGCCATAATAGTAATCGACTGGCTCATAAAAACCTTTAGCTCTTCGTTGTCATCGACTGACGTGACACAATTGTCAACATAAAATGATTTGGCAAGTTTATTCGCAACAGCTTTGAATTCAGATGAAAAGTGGGACAAATGAAATGAAATCACAGCTGCCAATAAATAGGGGATACTAGTTAACCCAAAAACAACCCTCTTGTGACGAAACACTTCAATTCTATTATTTACCCACCACAAAAACTTTAAGTAATTTTGATCCTCACGCTCTACCTCAATCTGTAAAAAGGCTCGCCTAATATCGGATGTTACACCAATTGCCTTTTCTCTAAACCGCATTAGAATGGCTGAGATTTCTTCTACAAGGTTTGGATCTTTTATCAAGCAATCATTTAGCGAAAGCGAACCAACGACTTTGCTCGAAGCATCGAATACAGGCCTAATCTTGGTAGTGAGGCTATCTAATTTTATTACTGGATGGTGTGGTAAATAATGCCCTCCGTCATTCTTTACTGATTTTGGGACAATTTCTATGACATCTTCCGCTAGCCATTCGTTAAATACTGTACTATACTTATCAGGTTCTGTGTTCCTCCTTACTTGCTTTGGGAACATTAACTGTCCTGACTCGGAACAGGGAGCTTACTAAAGCTATGTTCAATAAATTTGGGAAGTAGACAATACACACAGGAAGCGTATACGAAACCCTTTATTTTTCTCTCTTTACAATGATTTCCGGACTTCGGAATACAGAGACCAACCACTTGTGGTCTGAACGTAAGAATATAAAAATATTAACTAAACTCTAACTAAACTAACTTTGGATTAATCAAACAAGTGCCTAACTCCAAGATTGGCCGTATATTAACAAAAAAGCCGTATGTAGTACAGAGAACTGCTAACACTACGATACGTTTAAAATTATCAAGAGGATTAAACCTCTGGCCTTGAAAGCAATCAGCAACCGAGTAAAAACTACTATGGCAAGCGGCCTGCTTCTAATAGCTCCTTCCTCTCTCTCTCTTGCTTGGCAAAAAGCCACAACTTAAGTACTTGGCGTTAGCAAGACAAATTTGCATAAATAAGTTAAAGCTTTTAATTCTGGCCGGAAGTAGAAAATAAGAAGTGATAGTAAAGATTTAAAACAAAATAAACGTTAGTAAAACTTAGGATCCTTACATACTTCCCGCCAGAGTTAATTAGTTTGAAACTGAAGTCTAAAACGACCTTGTTGAAAACTTTTAGCTCTAGAATCTAACGCGAGGCCAATCTTTTACAAACATTTCTCACTAGAAACTAGAAATTAAAAAAAAAAAAGTCGTTTTTTACATTATCAACTCCATGGACAATTACTTTTTCATCTGTACTGCATCTAAACAGGAGTTCTTGGTTGAAATCTGGTTCCTTCCAGAGATCTGGAAGAAAAACTAGTTTAATGAAATGTTACACAATTAAATGGCAAGTAACATGAATACTTATATTTCTGTTTTTAACATTCTTATTTCATTCATGACGTTATTTAATTATCTCCCCGTGCTCTCTGACATGTGTTGTAAAGAAAAAAACACCAAACACGAACGTGTTTTATGTACAAGTGTCAACACTACCGCCTACAATCAAAACACTAACGTGTTAAATTTAACATAACAAGACCTCAGAACACACCTTATATTCATCTCTAAACCCTGAGGTACTATTCTGAAAAGTGGCTAACTCTGAAGTGTAGCGTCAGAGAGCCTAACTACATTCATTCAACCTTTAACACATATTCACAATAATTTGCTCTTTTTACAGTCACACGAATAACTTAAAATTTTTAGCATTACTTTCACTTTTAACATATCACAGTTCTTAACGTTTAAAATAACAGTTCACATTGTATATAAGGACATATTAACATGCCGTTCATTTTACGCATTTTAAAACATACATTACTAGTACATTGTTAACTTCTATTCTTTTCCAAGCAAGTGCCAATTCTTCTACATTGAAATACTACATTTCAAAAGTCTTTCAGACTAAAACTTCTTTCTTGCCAGAATCTTTTAACTAAAATTTTATACAATAACATTTACAATTTAAGGTACCTTTCTCAAAGATTATCAATGCTTTTACAATATTCAAGTATTTACACATTCCTCTTATACATTAATTTTAGTTTTACTCGCGAGTAATTGAAAAACATAATACCAAAATAGGTAAAAACTCATTTCTCGTCTTTTTGGCGATAAAGGTAGACCTTACATGAGGTAAAACGTCTTGAATTCTGCCACCTGCAGTAAGAATGAAAGATTAACTTAAGATTTCAAAGTAACATAAAGTTTTACTTATCTTTGTGATATTCAGACATCCTTTTTTCTGCCCAGTCCTGGAAAGGTAGCGAAGACTACGTTTGGTTTATCCTTCCTTCTTGTGCGGGTTCGCCCTTCGATTCCTTCCTCCATGAGCTTTCTTTTTATTCCAGTGCGGTCACCCTTGAAGACCTTCTTTTTAGCCTCTGCCTGTGGACAACTCTCTCTCGTTCCTGCTTGGATCTCGTTGCTGGCTGTTCAAATTTTTCTTGCTTCTTTACATCTGCAGCTGGTCTTCCTTTATCCATTCGTCGACATTTGCTGCGTAGACTCCTATCCGATGGGTAGATCTTCCGTTTTGGAGCCGGGTTATAGTTGCCGTTATTTCTCCTGGCTCTCTTTGCATTCGTCGTACTTCTCCCTTCTTCATTCTGGGGGTGGTCGTGCTCTCTCTTTTCTGGTCGGTGGAACGGCTTCTTTTTCTTGTTACCTTCAATTTTCCAACGGGGAAACTTTCTTTTCAATTGCTCCTGCCTCCTAATGGCCCTTGTGATGTCGTTGTCCCACCTCTGGAGCTTGTGCCTGCAGTGCCTGCCGTGCCGGATCCTGCAAAAGATCTTTAAATATTGGCATTTTATTACGATTATAGAATGGTTTTATCTGGTCAATGTTTGCGGAGCATGTTTCACCATTCCTGGCTTTTAACACCACTACAGCCTGAGTTATTTTTTCTATGACATATGGTCCTTCAAATCGTGGAAAAAATTTGGCAGTTTTATCTTCTGGTGCTGAAGAAAGTGAATGCTTAATTTTTAACACTTCATCTCCTACTTTATAAGTTACTCCCCGTCGTTTCATATCATAATAAAGTTTCTGTTTTCTCTGTGCTACTTCAGTGTTCTTTTTTGCTTCTTTAATTAATTTTTCTATATCGCCCATTTTAAATTCTGGGGCTCTTTGTTGAACATAAAATAATTTATCTAACGGCGTTATAATCTTTCTGCCTAAAAATAACTCAGCAGGAGTTTTGCCCGTTTTTAATGTTTTGCGGTCCTAAGGGCGAAAGCTAATTCATTGACATAGTTATCCCAGCTTTTATGAAAATTTTTAACATAACTACGGATAATTTTCACTATATTTCTATTGACCCGTTCCGCTATATTTGATTGCGGCCGATACGGGACCATTTTTAAATGACGTATGCCCAGTTTTTGGCACATGTCTTCAAATATATTACTTACAATATTTAAAATAGAATCAGTAACTAATTTCGCGGAGGCTCGTTTTAAGGGAACAATTTCGGTCCACTTACTAAAATGATCAACCATAACAAGGAGATACCGACTTTTATTTAACTGACTTTTTGGGAAAGGGCCCAATAAATCGATGCCAATTATTTCATTTGGAAATTCGGATTTAATGCTATTTAGAAACCCGGCCGGGCGGAAATTAATATAATTAACTGCTTGACATGTTGGGCAGGACTGGACATACGCCCTTGTTAACTTTTGCAGTTCAGGAAAATAAACTGCTTCGCGTACGCGTTGGATGGTTTTTCGAATACCAGCATGAGAAGCTAATGGGGAGTCGTGTAACTCCTGCAGTATATTTAATCTAAGACTAGCTGGGATAACAGGTCGAAATTCGTTGTTGGAATTCGTAGTTTTTGTATAAAATAATAGACCATCTATTAGTTCGTAATGGGCCGCCCTATTTCTTATCGCCACAATATCTTGGTGGCTAAAATTTTCAGGATCCTTTAAATACTCATAAATGTTTTTAAATTCAGGATCCTTACCCAGTTCGGTTATTACAGTTTCTCGGGAATTTATCGTACATGCTGTGAGCATTGCCACCTTTACAGTATTACCTTCTTCATCTATTTTTATTCTGGATAGGGCATCTGCTACGATATTTTCCTTTCCGGGGGTGTGCTTGATTACCAGATTATACTCTTGTAACTTGAGTGCCCATCTTATTAACCTTGGGGATAAGTTTTTCCCTGAGTACAATCTAGTTACCGCCGCATGATCAGAATACACTGTTATTGGCGCCCTTCCAAAATAGACTCGGAACTTTTGCACTGCTAACAGAACTGCAAGTGCCTCTCTCTCAGTCGCGGAATAATTTCTTTGTTTTTGATTTAAAGTTCGACTAAAAAATGCCACGGGCTGCTGATTTTGCGAAAGTACCGCTCCTACCGCATAATCCGAAGCATCCGCTGAAATTTCTAAATTCTCATCATTTTTCAGGAAATTTGAAAAAGTGGGCTTGCGTTAATGCTTGCTTTAATTTTTTGAAAGCACTATTGGCTTCGGCCGTCCACGAGAATCTTGTCGTTTTCCTTTTTAATTTTAACAATGGTTCAGCAATAGCTGCAAAATCTTTTATAAAGGACCTATAATATGAACAAAGTCCTAGAAAAGAAGAGAGCTTCTTCGCCGTATTTGGCGGCGGATACTTTTGCACAGCGATTATTTTTGATTCGTCCTGTCTCGATTCCTTTCTGAGATATTTTGTAACCTAAGTATTTTAATTCAGGGGCTGCAAATTTGCACTTTTCGACATTAACTTTTAGACCGGCCTCATTTAATAATGAAAACACCTGTCTTAAATCCTGTACATGTTGGTCCAGATTATCACTAGTAATAATGATATCGTCTAAATAGATAAATGTGGACTTTCCAAGAACAGGCCTTAGCACAATGTCCATACATCGCTGAAATGTTGCCGGTGCCCCTGAAAGGCCAAACGGCATACGCAAGGAATGCATAAGTGCCAGACTTGGTTTATAAAAGCAGTCTTAGGCACATCTTCCGGTCTAACCCCTATTTGAAAATAACCAGTCGTTAAGTCTAAAGTAGTCATATATTTGGTAGAAGTTATGTTCCTTAGAATTTCTTCAATAATAGGTAACGGATATACCGGATATTTAGTCATGGAGTTTAATTTACGATAGTCAATTGCAAAACGCCACCTTTTTCGGATGTGTTACCGGATAGTTCATTATTTTTCTTACATAAACACAACCGGGCTAGCATAACTACTTGAGATGGGCGTTATGATCTTTTTACGTAACATATCTCGAATGTGCCACTCTATAATTTTTTCTTTATTCTTATCATATCGGTATGGTTTGTGGCGAACTGGCAGTGAATCTCCGGTGTCGATACTATGGTTAGTAACTTGAGTAAATCCGGGAATATCACTAAATAACGAAGCAAATTCACTTACCACTTGTCGAATTTTTTGTTGCTCTTCCTTAGGCAGGTGGTCGAGGTTTAACGTTGGTGGTTCTGTTTTTTTCTTCTCGAACTGGTTTCATCGTCAGCTTAAGGGACGCTTCGTTAAAATCCAGCGTTGCTTCTGCCTCTGAAAGAAAATCTATCCCTAAGATGACATGTGCTTGCAAATTCTTTACGACAAAAAACATAATCTTTACTTGCTCGTCCTTGATACGAAATGTATAAACGGTAATTTACCTATGCACTTGCATCTTTCTCCCTGCGCAGCTAACACTGTCGTATTATCCGAATTATATATGCGGTATTTACGGAAATACTTCCTAAAAAAATCTTCTGCCACACAGGAACACTGCGCGCCTGTATCCAGGAGTGCGGTGGCTGGGATGTTATTCACCAACACTTCAATCTTTGGAAGAGTCAAATTTTTCACCATCACTGTATTTAACTTGAAGGAAGAGGGGTTTTTCTTGGCCTTCGGATTTCCGCACCCTCCCGTCAGCAGAAATCCGTTTTAGTTTAAATCTTGTTTCTTCCTTTCCATGCCTTCCTTCTTTTTCCACTGGCCTTCAGACTTTTTTTTCTGGCTTACTATTGAACTGTCGACGTTCGCCGGTTGTTTTTGGATACTCGGGTTTCCTTGCCCACTGATTCGCTTTGCTTCCGTAGCCGTGTTCTTGACTTTGCTGTGGTCTTGGCGCACCAAATTGGCTTCGTTGCTCATACTGGCGTCTTCTTTCAATGTCCGCCGTTCTTCTACTTTCAAACTGGATTGCTAGCTCAAATAACTTTTCCAGTGTAGTCGGGCTCCTTAATTCAATAAAGTCTTGTACTTGGGGAAGTAACCTCGGCAAAATCACTTGAATTATCTCAGGATCCGGACGGTTTCCCTACAAGAGTTTGAAAACGTGAATTTTTCTTAAAATAAAGCTTGAGAGATTTTCAATTCGTTTCTGGTATATGCTGAAGAGTTCCGTTTCTAATCTTGCACGATCTCTTACGACAGGGAAGGCTTTTACTAAGGCAGTCTTAAAATTTTCGTAAGTATAGGTGGGACTTCCCGCTTGACCCAAGAGACTTCTGCCTATACATTTGAACCAATTAAGCGCTTGGCCCCTCAAAGCGCTGGTAGCTAAGGTGACTTTCTGGAACTCATGCACTGGAGTACAGCATGAAGTGGTCATCCAATTTTTCCAAAAAACTGGTTACCGGTGAGTTTCCATTGAATGTTGCTTCTGGTTTCATCGATGCGCGCATGGTCTGGACGATGTAACCAAATCCTTCCAGGGCGGCAGCTGGCATTTCTGGATTCTGAGCCGCTTCTGCAGGCAGCACAGGTTCTTCTTGAAACTCGGCCATGGTTATTCTTCTTCGTCGGGCGCCACTATCAGGTTCTGTGTTCCTCCTTACTTGCTTTGGGAACATTAACTGTCCTGACTCGGAACAGGGAGCTTACTAAAGCTATGTTCAATAAATTTGGGAAGTAGACAATACATACAGGAAGGGTATACGAAACCCTTTATTTTTCTCTCTTTACAATGATTTCCGGACTTCGGAATACAGAGACCAACCACTTGTGGGCTGAACGTAAGAATATAAAAATATTAACTAAACTCTAACTAAACTAACTTTGGATTAATCAAACAAGTGCCTAACTCCAAGATTGGCCGTATATTAACAAAAAAGCCGTATGTAGTACAGAGAACTGCTAACACTACGATACGTTTAAAATTATCAAGAGGATTAAACCTCTGGCCTTGAAGGCAACCAGCAACCGAGTAAAAACTACTATGGCAAGCGGCCTGCTTCTAATAGCTCCTTCCTCTCTCTCTCTTGCTTGGCAAAAAGCCACAACTTAAGTACTTGGCGTTAGCAAGACAAATTTGCATAAATAAGTTAAAGCTTTTAATTCTGGCCGGAAGTAGAAAATAAGAAGTGATAGTAAAGATTTAAAACAAAATAAACGTTAGTAAAACTTAGGATCCTTACATACTCATCAAATTTATTTAATTTTCTCAATTTTCTCGTAATAGCAAAGAGCCTTTTTTCTGCAATATGCCAGTTAGAGGTAATATCAGGAGGGAATTTAAGAGCCCAAGGTAAACTCATGCAATATCTATCATATCCGGTTCTGCGAAAGCCCCTAAGAAATTGCTCTTTCGCTGCTTGATCTTCTGCGACCCTGGGAATGCTTTGTGCATCATCTGCAATGCCGACAGTTTCTAACTTCCACATAAGGAAAGGTTCCATGTCTTGAATAAGAAGATTAGTTACTGACATAGATGGGGTACCCTCAAAACTTTGGATAATAGTTCTTTTCGATTCCCGGCACAGCGTCCATCCCAGTTTAGTATTTATGGCAGTCAAACCATCCTCAAGCTGAATTACTTCACCAGTAAGTATTTGCCCATAAATATCACTCCCTATGAGTATTTCTATTTCCGGGTGACCCTCACCGACATCTGAAATCCAAATTCTGTGTCTTTTTAATTCCTTCAATAACGGTCCTTTAGGTATGCGTGGTATGCCTCCACAAATGGTATTTTGATCCAGAAAACTAAATTGGCACACTTTGTTTTTCCCAACCGGGCTTAGATCTATAGAATATCTCTTGTGAATTTTTGACACAGTCCTTGTTCCGCCAAATAACGCGTGAGTTACAGTTTCAGAGGAAGGGCATTTTCAGATTTAAAGCTTCAGCTGTGGATTGTAAAACGTAAGATCGTTGGGATCCACAATCCAAGAGGCACCTGACCACCTTCTTTATAGTGCCTACAACTATTTCAACCATTAACGTCATAAGAGTGACTTCATTCATACATAAGGGAGAAGACATTGTACTTTGTACCATTACTGACTCGTTTCGTTTTTCCTTATTGTCAGCATTGTTTTCTGATCCCTCCGGGCATAAAATTATAGGGTGAGATCACCTACACAAATAGCATTGAATAAACTGTGGACAGTTCTTCGCAAAATGCCCTGGTTTAAGACAGCGATGGCAGCATTTTAATTCTCTTAATTTGTCTAATCTTTCCTTTAAGCTCATCGATCGAGCTGTAAAACATTCTTTGCTTTCGTGAGATTTTCCGCAAAAAACACATTTTTGTTCTTTGGCAGCAACTAGACTTGCTGCGCTAGCGATTGGTTTTTTGGTCTTAACTTTTACATCTTTAGAATGTTCATTGCGCGAAGTAGAAGAAATTTCAAATCCAGACCTGGCTAGTTTCTTCCTCTTAACTTTCCTCTGCTCTCCTTCGACCTCTTTACGCAAAATTTCCAGGAGATATGTGAGACGTGATCCTTTTTTACTGAACAAAACGCTTCTCTGCCATACTCTAAGCATCTCAGCAGACAGACAAGACTCGACCATGGGATATAACCAGGAAACATTGGTATCCAGATATAAGCCTAAAGACTCTAGAGATATGAGATGGGATTCGATTTTGTCAAACAGTGACACTAGCGGCAACCGATCCTTCCCTTGTGAGCGTTCATTTTGGATAAATAATTTTAACAATTCCCTCACATATATCTCAGTTAAAATTTCCTTGTTTCCAAAACGCTCCTCAAATGCAGAAATGGCTTTCAGGTAATTTTCAGCCGTTAAAGGATAACTATCTGTCAACTCACTAGCCCGAGTTCCGGGTAACATTGATTGAGCTAAATAATGGAATTTGTCAACCTCATTAAGCTCCTTATCCTCATGGATCTTTTTAAATTGACCCCAAAATGTAAGGTAACTTAATAATTGTCCATCAAATTTTTTAATTTGAATTTTCGGCAACTTGTACCGTTTTCCATTAGAAGCACTTATGCTACTATCCGTGTTAGAACTCGTATTGACACTACGGTCAACTGCATTATCTATATTCTCTTTCACCCGACGATTAAGTGTGATAAACTTATCTGAATATTCTTCGCAGCCTATGACCTCTGTTTCCAGATCATCTTCAGCGGCTTTTCCCTTAATCATTGAATCTAGTATTTCTGAATCGCAAGATCTCAACTCAGCAATTATCATCTGCAATTTCAAAATTTTGTCTTTCAATACATCTCTATCCGCTTGAACATCTTTACAAAGTTCGGTGTTTAGAATCTTAGCCGTCCTAGTAAAGGCACTGCGTGCCGTTGCACGCTTTTTCTTCAACATATCAACATCCATTTTTATCTTTAAATGCAGACCCACTTAAAACTCAAAATCTGTAATGTTATCATCAATCCGACAAATCCTCAAAAACGTCTTTACTCAGCAATTCCAAAAATATAACTCCGGTATAATAAAAATGAACGTAGGAACAATATGTCATAACAGTTCATAATACAGCAAAACATAAAACGCATAGGACTTTCATCGAGGGTACACTCAGAAAAATTAATATTTTACTAGTCTACAATATAATATGAGCAAACACATTTACGGTTTCTCAACTATCCCCCATTAATATAATAATCCAAGCCACATTCGAATCAGGATCGCAATCCTGGCTGGCTCGCCATTTTGTTATGTCGTGGAGCAAAAACGGTTTTTACTTTACAGCTGACTGCCACTGGTTCCGACATAGCAATGTGAATTCTCTACATCTAAAATTTTAAACACCATTCCAGAATTTTAAATGTTTATTTAATAGAATTCTATTCCTATATTTGCAAGTTATACACTATAAATACAATAAACAAAATTTGAACTTATCTGCACCAACGTGAATAAGCCTGGCATAATATTCTGAACTCGACGCAACTTTAGGAGGAAAAATACCGCAAATTCAAACACAAGGTTTCATCCTTTCCAACGCAGCTAATTTTCTAAATATATTTTACTAATATTCGCAGTACAGCGGATTCATTTCATTCACCCAAAACTCAAATGTTTTAACGCAATAGTATCGCAAAGGAAACATCGACTCAAAATCAAAATATTGAAATCTATAGAATATCATCCGCTGTTGCCAATTCCAGCACTGCCAAGTTTTTCTTCCTGCAGCTGTTGCCAGACTTATCCTCGCTGTATGTGAGAGGTACAATACCTATGTTGGATAAGGACAGCGAGAGGCTACATATTGCGCATCAATGCCCCACAACTAAACATACTCTCAGAAGGGCAGATTAGACCCGGGTCTCCTCCTATTAAATGATCGGTTCCCAAAAATCCGATCCACCCCTCCTCATAGCATAACTACCTCCTCCAGGGCACAGAAGCCTTAAAACTTTAGTTCTGAATTAAGATGGTGTTAACATACCAGTAGACGATGTCAACACGTTTTAAGCGTTGTTTGGGTTCTAAATTAATACTAAATTAAAGCTATTTAAGTGAAGAAAAATCACAAAGTTGTTAATATGCATAAAATTAGGTCATGGAGCTCGCCAGTAATAAACTTTGCTTGGATGAAATTGGTAACATTTTCCAATGAAATTTTGGTTATAATGGTTTATATAAGTAATGGTTTTATAAGTAATTTTAATCGTTGTGTGGACACTGAAATTATTCTCCTCGCTCGCATCCCTTTTACCGTTCCTGAACCACTGACTCGTCCAGCACTCTTTCGCACTTCTCAGCATTCGTCATGTAAGAAACACACCAAACTGTTTTGTGGACTTTTGGAAAGGACTGAAACACAGAATTTTACTTGCCCTTCCGCCAGACATAAGCTTGGAACTTTAGAGAAAACTTAATTCCGTCAGTGGGGCCACCTAGTTGATATGCTAACTGCCCAGTGAATCTAGAGCCTCACCGATATGGAAAGAAAGAAAGTTTATTTATAAATGGTTATATAAGTCAAAGACAAAAAGTCTAGAACCAATACACTCGCATTCGCTGAAAATGATATTGCGTTGACCTAAGATTTCTGAAATCTTGTTATCTACAGTGATAAGAAATTCAATAATGGAGACTCCTAATATGTTTGTAAACCTGCGACTGCATAAAAGAATCATTATATTAAATGTAAAATATGAATATGTGGCTTCATACTTTTGGAGAGCAGTAATGTCAGGAAAAGAGCAGAAAATATTCTGTCCAGCAGTGATATCACGAAGGAAATATTTCAACAGTACAAAAACTGAAAGAAAGTTCAAGTAAATTTGTAGAGACATTAGGATTTTTTTGTGAAGCAAGAGAGATTGAAAACTGAGCAACGCCTTCACCGGGAATCGAACCACGGACCTATGAAACACCGGTTCAGTGTGCTAAACACTACGCCACGAAGGTACGCTAGTAAGGCGGGAGAAATACCTTATAGATTACATAAAGTCATATTATATTTGTCAGTACGATAAAGACCTTAATATATAGCAAAAATAACATATTTGCTCTATAATTATAAAAGTACATATGGGACCTCGTCACAGTCTCTAAACGTGTCATTGAACATCTGACGTAAATAGTAGAAAAGGAGTTAAATATTACAAATAAATGAGGCTTAAAAATTGTGTTTTAGGTATAATAGGGTAAAATGTTAACGGAAACATAAAATCCACAGCAGTTTTAAAAACGCTTGAACTGCTAAAAGTGCTAAGGTGCTAAAACTAAAAGGTGCGGAGAAAAGTGCCAAAATGGCTAAAAATTCGCATGCTGAAAGTGCGTGACACTATTAGCCAGTCCAAAAGTTACACAATAAAATATTAACATGCAAATTATTCAAATACAAGATATCATATAAGGTATTAGCTCAATTTTGTGATTCTACATTTTCATTTTTTTAAAAGTGGTATACCTGGATTTTAAACTGATACTTGAATGCATTAAAAAAAAAGACATTTAATGGTCATAAACGAAATCGATGAAAGGGAAAAGTTGATATCCAGCTATTTGCTGTATTTTGTGAGCCACTGTACTTTAATCTGCCTCAATATAGGATGGGCATTTATTGTTAAACGTTACAGATGCTTTTCCATGGATGCTTGTGCTTTTTGTATTATCATAGACTTTACCTTATTTAGTACATGAGTAACCATATAACACGTGAAAGTTTCCGTCTCAATCGCGACTCCAAAGACTGTGATATCAAGAGACATCAGCATCCCTCCTAGATTGGTTTCGTTCGTTGTTACAGCAGTATTTTAACAATAATAACTGAATATCATGAAGATCTGATCATGATATGTCTTTAAGCAGCAAGACAGACTGTGAAGACTGTTAGACCTTTCTAATAATAACCTAGTTTTGGAAATAGACTATTTTATCAATAAAAGATATAAATACTGAAAAATTACCTTATACACTTCCAGATTTTATAATATAATTGAGAATGATTCTGTTCCCTCCACAGGACGAGATCCGCCAGGCAGAATCGAAGACCGGATAGCATTACAGCATCTAGGGCTGTCTTAGGTTCATCTGATTCTTTGATAGATACAAACACTTGGAGTAATGGAGCATGGAGGTCTATTATAGACGTGGAAGGAGAAGTAAGTAAATTCCAATCATATGTATAGAAATGCTTGCCACCAAATTTAGAAATCTTGCTCTAGTGCTATTATGTTTATCCAACCCATGAAAAGAATGCGAGGTAACATTTAAAGAAGTTCCAATTTAAGACCAACAATTCAAACAGCTACTCTTATAAATGCTTCTTTTAGGAACAGGAAGTGCATGAACTTTTTATTTTATGAGGAATTTAACAATCCTTTAAATAAACACACTGAATTTAGTTCGAAGTTATTTGAAAAACATAATGAATACCTCAACCTCTGAGAGATATTTTTATTGTAATATTAAACTGCTGACAGTAAGTAACCAACAGTCAAATGTAAGCTAGCACCTTTGCAAAGCATTTTCGAAAATTTAGGGCTCTTTGCTAAGCATTTTCCTTCTTTTATTTAACCACGCCTTTCACTGGTATTTAAGCTGTTAATTTAATACCGGTGTTCATGCGATGCGTGCATTGTTATACAACAATTTCAAATTAACTAGAAGTGGACTGTACTAAATATTTTATTCAACAACTTTAATCAAATACGCGCCATCTTTCAAGCAATGACTTACTACTAACAACAGCAATAAAAAAAAACTGAGTAAGCGTTTACAGGGTTGCTGTAATGAACATCTGCGCCATGCAAGGCGCCAAGAAGAGAAAAAATGACGTAATCTTACAGTTAAATAGTCTTACAGTTAAATAGTCTTAATTAACATACACCCCCCGCATTGAAGGTTACTTCAATAATTTTTTAATAACTCAATAATTTCGTGCGATAATACTCATAATAACCTACAAAATTGTACAATTACTACCTTATACAATAATGCAATACGAATAACATCTCTTAATTCAATATAATAATATTCAATTTTCAATAAAAATTTTATACACAATACAATGTACAATACAAGTTTTATAATAATAAGCTAACACTTAACTAACTTAGGAAGTTTCTTCTTGGGGTAAAATTGCAATTTTTGTAATTCCATGCCCTTTGCTATCTGTATTTCTACTACTCTAACCTTACCGTCAACTCCAGGAAAAATTCTTGTAATGCGCCCTAACACCCATCTACAAACAGGAAGCTCGTCCTCCTTAACTAGTACTAGCATACCTATTTTAATTTTCGTTTGTTCTACCTTCCATTTTGAACGCTGTTGTAGTGTGTTTAAATAGTCCCTATGCCAACAATTCCATATCAACTGGACAAATCTGGTAGTTCGTTTCCATCTTGAGAGTCTGTTTTCGGGTATATCAATTAATTCGGGTTCTACTATAGCATTCAAGAGTCTTCCAATGAGAAAATGGCCTGGTGTTAATGCCTCTAAATCATTTACATCGGAAGATAAGGGAGTAATAGGGCGAGAATTTAAAACAGACTCTATCTGAGTTACTACAGTTAATAACTCCTCGAAAGTCAACCTTGCATTGCCTACAATCCGCTTTAAGTGATATTTCACGGATTTTATTCCAGATTCCCATAGTCCACCAAAATTAGGTGTCCGTGGGGGAATAAACTTCCATACTATTCCTTCTTCGCCTAAATAATCTGCTATTTTTTTTTCAGGATTTCTAATTAAATTGTTAATTCTTTGCAATTCGGCATTTGCGCCAACGAAGTTTTTTGCGTTGTCTGAGAAAATGATTGAGCATTTTCCGCGCCTAGCAATAAATCTCTTTTTAAGGTGGATCAATAAATGCGTCAGTTGGTGAGATCACTCACTAGGTCGAGATGCACTGCCTTTGTTATAAGGCAAATGAAAAGAGCTAAATATACCTTATGAAGAGTTCCTTTCCTCTGTCCCTTGTACCTAATAAAAAATGGACCGCAAAAATCGGTGCCGACATGATTAAAGGGTGAGCTTGGATTTACGCGCTCTGCAGGTAATGACCCCATAATTTGTTCGATAGTGACTGGTTTATTTTTACTACAAATTATAGATTCATGGGTAATCTTTCTATTTAAATTCCTACCTTGTAATGGCCAAAATTTCTGTCTCATATAACACAATAATGCTTGCGAACCTACGTATAAATATTTCCGATGATAATGCTCAGCAATCAGCTTAGTTAGTTTGCATTTAACAGGCAAAATTATTTTATGTTTTTGTGAAAACATTACATTGGCCCCTTGTAATCGGCCTCCTACTCTCATTACATTATTTGCATCCAAAAATGGGTTCAAAGAAAGTAAATTACTTTTATTATTAATGGGTTTACCTTGTGCGAGGGAGTTGTAATTCTAAATAAAAACTACATTTTTGAACTTCCCTTACTAAAAAGGATTCTGCCTCATTTAACTCCTTTGAACTTACCCTCCTCCTGTTCTTCTCTGTGCTCTTCTTTCTGTTTTGCACACCTAGAGTTCCAAATGAACCTGAAAATATAAACTAACATAATAATTTAAACGTAATAATTTTAACATAATCCAGTGGAGTAGCGAGCATAACTGGTGCCGGGGCAAAAAACCTTTTTGGCATCCCCTTCCCCTGGGAAAAACAGTGAAAATCTTGTTTGGAGACCATTTGGCGCCCCTCAGCAAGCGGCGCCCGGGTCATCATACACCCCCTTGCCCCCCTCGCTACGCCACTGACATAATCAATAAATTTTGAAGGCAAAGTGTATAAACAAGCAATGTCATTTCTTTTTCTCGGTTCATTAGAAAATGTCTCTGTTTTTCTAATTGTTCAAAGTCAATGTTCTTGCTATGTATGACAACTTCCCTCAAGAATGGAGGATCTTTCCACCACAGATCAGCATCATGCAAGCTTGTCAAAATTCAGTCCTCGGGAAATAAGGTCTGCTGGGTTTCTCTCTGAACGCACATAATTCCACTGGCTTGTCTGTGTTAGGTCTTGGATCTGCAACACTCGATTAGCAACAAAAGTTTTTAGTACATGCGGAGGATTCTGAAGCCACGCTAACACTATGGTTGAGTCACACCACAGTCATATTTTGCTGATGCCCAATTTCAATAAAGGCACCACCTTTGCAACAAGCTGTGCTAGCAGTACAGTTGCGCAGAGTTCCAGTCGAGGTACTGTCAGCGGTTTTAGTGGAGCTACTCTGGACTTGCTGCAAAGCAAATGTGAAGATAAATTATTGTCACTTCTACAGCGTAAATAGATGGCTACTCCGTATGCGTGTTCTGACGCATCTGAAAATCCATGAATTTGTATATCAGAAAAACTATCCTGTAAAACATATCCACTGACTTTTAAATTGTTGATAGATTGCATTGAATCAATAAAAAGTTGCCAATCTTTAATTATCCTTTCGGGTAGCGGATCGTTCCAATCAAGCTTCAATAACCAATGTCTTTGGATGAAGATTTTTGCTTTTGTTATCCCTGGACCAAGCAGTCCTAATGGATCATAAATGCGAGCAATATCAGACAACACTGTTCTCTTTGTATAAGTAGTTGGTTTCTTGATCGTTGATTTGTACGAAAAACAATCTATCTTTGGATTCCATAATAATCCTAAAGTTTTGATGCTCTGATCGTCATCGAAATTACTGAAAGAATATTCCTCTTGTCCATCCGGAAACTGCAAAAGATCAGGGATGATTAGCACACCATCTGTGCAAGACGCATTCCTTCCACGTGATAATAGGTTAATCAATTGCGACTGTAATTCTTTAGCCTCTATTAGAAGTATAGGCTCCTGTGAGTACGTCATTCGACATAAAAATCCCTTTGTACTATTTGGCGCTGCTAACGAAAAAATTGTTTTCTCTCGTCCTTCTGCTAATTGATTAAGTGTGGCGTGTTGCTAGATATGGTGCGTTGGAAGTACCGTAAGTTATAGTCTTCAGTCTATAGACCTTAACTGGTTCTTCTTCACTACTCTTCCATAAGATGCGTAATAAATCTCTTTGATGTTCTTTAATCAAAATCTGACGATACATTTTTACAATGTCTGCTGTGAAGGCAAATTTATGCGTTTGAAATCTGCAAATAATATCAAATAGTTCGTCTTGAACTAACCCTCCATTCAGCAGAATATCGTTTAACGAAATTCCAGTAGTCGTAGGAGCAGTGGCATCGAACACTACCCTAAGTTTAGTGCTAGGTTTCTCGGGCCTGAAAACCCCATGGTGAGGAAGATAATATGAGAAACTAGAGCTATCCCCTTCATCAATTTCTTCGGAATGGCCTAATTCATTATATTCCTTAATGAAATCTTCGTATAAGTGTTTCATTGCGGGATTGCGAGTGAAGCGTTTAAGTAGATAATTCAGTCTTTTGCTAGCGTTTTCTCTCGATTCCCCTAAAAGGCTAAGTCCTTCCTCTTAATCTTAATTGGCATTTCCACTACATATCTGCCATCATCTTGCCTCGTGTGTGTACGAACGAAGAAAGTGCTGTTCACAAAATTCCTCTTCCTGACTTTTCACTTTTTTTGCTTCATTAATACCTTCAATCTCCCAAAACCTTCTCATGTTGTCAGATAAATTATCCCCATTTTCCACAAACCCACAAAAATTATCAACACTACCTTGCTGCGGCATGCGTACTGACCCGCTAACGATGTATCCAAAAACTGACTGATGGAGAATCAGGTCTTGCATATTTATTCTATTTGTTCCCAGTAAATCAAAAAATATTTCGTTAGATAACAAAACATGTATTTGACCAGGTTTATAAAACTCTGGATCAGCTAAACCAATGAGTTGCAACTGCTTAACATCAGGAATGTTTATATATCCAGCAGGCGTTACGCGAGTTATTTTGGGAACAACAAAAGTTTGTAAGGTACGAATAAAATCTCTAGTAGCGTTAGCGATGGTTGCTATAGCTGTTTTCCTTAACATCCATAACTGTACCATTGATACCTGAAATAGAAGCGTTTATTTTTCTTTTCTTCAAATTCAATAACTCAGCACCTTCTTTAGTAATGAAATTATTTTGAGAACCGGAATCCAGCAAGGCTCTCAGCGAGATAAATTTTCCATCATTACCCTTAACGAAAATAATTTGCAGTTGAAAGTAGAACTTGTTTATTAAAAGAACTGGAAATATTCAGTGCAGTACTCGTTAATGGAATTTGCTTGGTTGGTTTCATTAGTGTCACTAACCATTTGGCTGCTTGCCAATTGGAAGTAAATGTATCAGCATTTGGAGAAAGATTACTGCTTAATTTATTAGTCTTGTTTGTGATTTGATTCGATGTGCCATTTGCTTTATCGAAATTTTCTTCATTTCGATCAAAATGTAAGAGCGAATTGTGAAATTTCTGACATTTCCTCCATGTATTAGAACTTTTACAGTCCTTGATTGTGTGGACCGAAGATAAACAGTTGAAACATAGTTTTTTTGTCTTTACAAATTCCAATCGTTTTTTGACTGTTAGATTTAAGAATTGCGCACATTTCAACAATAAATGATCAGCTTTACAATAAGGACAATTTTTTGAATTTTCCGAAAGTGATGTAAGAGCTTTGGTATTAAATGAACGTTTCGATTCCCCATGCGGAGGTTTGTAATGTGATAGGGTGCGAGCGTGTTCCTTCAAAAAACATGTCACTTGTTTAACCGTTCCTATTCTCGTCTTTTTTAAAGTGACCTTTCCCACCAACACCGAGTATTTCTATCCAACTTTTCAACTAATATATAAACAATTAACGTGTCTGAAAATTCTTCCACCTTTTGCTCCAATGCTTCCAAGGATCGTAAACATTCATGCACCTTATCGATAAATTTTAAAAGCGACGAAGTAGAATCACTCGTTTGAGGTATAGAAATTAATTTCTTTATGATAGAATTGATCAAATCTTTTTTGTTGTAATAGCGATCAACCAAACAGATTCCATGCTATGTCATAATTCGAATCTGAAATTGGAATGGACTGAATAATATTTAAAGCGTCTGCCTTACACGAACTCTTTAAATATTGCAATTTTTGCGCATTAAGTTAATTTGCTGTATTTTTATGCACAGCTGCGGAAAATAAATCCTCAAATTCAATCCATTCTTCGAATTTTCCCACTGAATATAGGAAAGAGACAATTTAGGATATTTTATATCCCAAACAATTATGAATTTTATATCCGAAACAATTATGTCTTGACTCGAACCGTTTTCATTTGAGCAAGCTATTCCTTTGAGAACTGATCTCAGAAATTTTTTTTCTTTTAATTTTCAAATGAATTTCATCGAGATTATCTACTACATTTTCCTTTTCCTTAATGAATTCGTCAGTGTCCTTTTCTTCACAATGTGCAAATAAAGAATCGAAAATTTTACTTAATTCCTTTTTAAATTCTAATATTTTTGATTCGTATAACTCCAATAAGGAAATATCTGCTTCATCCACTGTAGAATTTACCATTTTCAAACTTTCTGATACTGCATTTTAAACTTTTTTTGTTAGCTTTAATCGCTTTCAATTCACTCATCATGAACAAATAAATAATTTATCACTTACCGTGATTGCAGATTTCTCGACAGCAACACCGGAAATGAACGATGACACAGTATTCAATCTTAATTGCGTAATCCACACGAAAACGAAAGCATTCCAAACACTCTATATGAAGTTATCCGTAATACAACCAAACGAAAGTATTACAAATGTTCTAAAAAGTTAATTTTAGCAACGATATCTTTTACCTCCGGCTCGACGGACCACAAAGTGTTCATGCGATGCGTGCGTTGTTATACAACAATTTCAAATTAACTAGAAGTGGACTGTACTAAATATTTTATTCAACAACTTTAATCAAATGCGTGCCATCTTTCAAGCGATGACTTACTACTAACAACAACAGCAATAAAAAAAAACTGAGTAAGCGTTTACAGGGTTGCTGTAATGAACATCTGCGCCATGCAAGGCGCCAAGAAGAGAAAAAATGACGTAATCTTACAGTTAAATAGTCTTAATGACTTAACAACCGGGTTGTGTTCTTGACAATTTATACTTAATGCTGTTTACGGTAGGCAGTCTGTCTCAGTTACTGGAATCTTTGAAATAAAAATTTAGGATGAAAAGAAATGTAGCAAAAGCTGACATTTTCAAAAGTTCATTGCGAAAATGAAAAGGCAGTGTTCGAAAATTCAGGCAGTTGGACCTTTTCATGCGATATAGGCTCTACGTTAAAACAGATCGACGAGCTTAGAGCATAGTAAGAAAAATTGCAGATTTAATTTTAATAAGTATATCTTAATTAAATTATATTACTCGATAGCTAATTGTTTTTGAAAACATATTGCAATTTGTTAAATGTTTATTTTTAGATTGAAGACTATAAAAAGTCATTTATTAGAAATTGTTATAACAATAAAATAACTGTTATAACAATTTTCTTAGTAATAATGAAATTTGCATTAGAATACAGATAGTGCATCAATTTGTATTTAAAAATATCTCCAGTTAAATATACATAATACTTTTGTGTTTACAAACGTATTGAAACTATAAGAAACTGAGAATTTTATTTTCTTGTATATTCATTGTCCAATGGAAACGGAATACTTTGTGTAGTAAAATTTCTGTTTCTTTGAGTATGGATGCAATAGACTAAAGTTATACAAAATAAAAATTTTAAATTAAAAAAATAGCTAAAAAATCTATGTAAGCATAATATTTATTTAATGATTTTGAGAATCATATCACAGATAGAAAAGTATTTTAATGCATTTAGAAATTAAAACTATTATGTTTATTCACTTTTCAGATAGAACATATGAACAATTTGAACAATAACAATTTATTACGCGAGAGAAATTTGATCAATCGTCAAAATCACCAGTTGACACCAGCAAAAAGAAAAGTTGGGAAAAGGTAAGGTCTAAGATAAAAATACTTGCTTTGTTTCGTTAAAAATAGAGTACCATATACGTATGGGAAACTATTTTTAAGTATCAATATTATCGCATTAAAATTCATGAGCTAAAATAGCGCAACTATTTTAATTAATAAATATAAAATGCACATCACTGATATTACCCAAAACTGTAAATTTTATTTCTTTATCATTTCAAATAATGCAGATACTATAAATTGCTTAAGTTTAAGAATTTCGTAAGTGTAGCAAATAGTAAGATTCATTTTCAAAACTTGCATAGTCTAGAGTAATATAAAGTTAAAAAAACAATTGTTACAACTAAAATTAGAATTTCTACGCAAAAACCAGCAATTCGGCCAGCGCGCAGAAAGGCAAAATTTTCGGTGCACAAAACTGAAAGTAACTTTTAGCTACACACCCTCAAAAACACACTGAAGTTGGTTCAGCAGCTGACTTAATTCAATATTCTACTAACAGTTTCAAACGCAAAACAGATGGTGGCCTTCTTAGGTTTAGCGACAGTTAAACATTTAAATTGTTAATGATTCTACAATTATTGCATGTAGATTAACAATTATTGCATGTAGATGTTCAAAATTTCAATTTATTTTAGATTAAAATTTTTAAACAAATAATTAATTATTTTAATTAAAGATTAAAAATGCTCCTTGCGCTCTAATTTTCAATATTTTTTCCTAATTTTTCCTTCAAGTTAGTTATAAAGAGTTAACAAAAGGTTTTGTGTATCCGTTATTGAATATGATAGATAAAAAATTTTTAAAAAGGATTTTTGTGAACTTAAACTCAGTTTTCGGAAAAATGTCACCTTTTGTTAAACATTATCACAAGTTTAAACTTCTTAATAACCTCATATCCAAAAATGCATACACAGTTCTACTGGAACATATAACAAGATAGCTTCTTCAAAATAGCATTCATTTTGAATTAAAAATGAGTCGCATGGAGCATTTTCAAGACATACGAACTGCGAAAAAATTTGTTTTGTGAAAACCAAATTTAAAGTTTTTCTTCAAACTTACCTTTAATACATGGTCATGAGAAACAGCAAATTAACTTTAAATATGAATTTGTAAAGACTAGCTAACATTTTCGCATCATTTAACTATTTTTAATATCATAATATTAAATATGACAAACATAGACATATCGCAAATTGATATGTGATTCGAAGTTATAGGGAGAAACAATTTATGCATTATATCCAATGAAATTTTTTTAATTCACCCGCACCATATTTTTTACCTTCATTTGTTACATTTACATTATCTTCTAATGCTTTAGAATATTTTTTACTATTTCTATTTTTTTTTCCAAGCAGGTAAACTTCTATGTCTGCCTTGGTTCAAGCGACGTTGACCTGCTTTTTTTTGCAACGAAGAGGGAAAACGACTTTGTTGCCCATTGCTCTATGCGTATAGCATTTACATAACCATAGTTAAATTCATTAATAGTTGTCAATACTGACATTTATAGCCTTTTTTTTTTTTTTTTTTTTTTTTTTTTTTTTTAAGAAATAAACTTTTCTTTTGGGCAAATATATAAATTATAAATGTTGAAATAGGTTTTTTTTTTTTTTTTAACATTTTCTCCAAAATTTAGAGGGCAAAGTTTACATTGTTTACACATTTTAAATGCTCGTAACTTCTTTAAAAATTAGAATATTTGAATTCGGTTTTTTGCAAACGATGTAGTTACGTATATGGAATATTACGAGAACAAAAAATCAAATTCAATATTTTGGTTGATTTTTAGCTATTTTAAAGTCCACCGTCCCCTTAAAGCAAAAATGCACAGTTTACCAACGTATAAGAATTAAAAAAACTGTACTCACTGAGCTGCGTAACAAAATGGCTATATATATGTGTGTGTGTGTGTGTGTGTGTGTGTAAAATATAAAATCTAGCTTCAAATAATAAATTAATAGCCCTTTAATTCCTGTCTTCATTCTACAAATAATAGAGCAATAAATTTTCTAACTAAACGGAAAAGATCCGTCATCTAATTTGTATTGCGCGCTTATCGATGAATTCTGAGCCTAGCACCTGTACATTAAACTGCCATGTGATCTGAAATGGAAAGTGGTACATAAGCTTAATTGTGTTTCGACTCTCTCTCTCTCTTTTGTTTTCCCTTCTGCTACTAGACGCTTGCGCCGCCTTGCGGCAGAGTTTACTTTGTAGAAAATTGAGAGGTGCATAACGCACTCACAGAGATAATGTGCATTATCCAAAAATAAGATTATTTGTGAAATTTAGGCTATGTATGCAAGTTTTTGTTTGGGGGGGGGTGTTTATGCATCCATCGTTCTAACTAAAAAATCAAGTCGTCTTCAAGTTATGATGAAGAGAACCCAAATCATCTTATTTCAATAACAACGCAGTTTTATTACGCACACACACACACACACACACATTACGTATGATTCTTACGTAATTATGATGATGTAAATGGAACTAAAACTCAACCAGCCAATAGTAATTTTACAGCAATATTAACTGTCCAATCAAAATGCTTTGAGAACCAAAACTAACTCAGTTTGACTTCAGATTTCATCCTGAACATTACGCACTTGCTTTCCACGCTTTGCCTTAGCTGGACTGCTGTCTTTCCGCTGCTGGTTTCTTGCTACAAAGTTATCAAAAATGTAAGCCTTTTGGAACAGGCACATTGAATGTGCCGACTTGTGTTTAGCCGCAACATGTTGCTAAAAATAAAAATGAAAATTTAATCTGCATTCGCCTCCAATCTGCTCATTGCTTCTGAGCCTGAATATATTACATATATATTAATCCATTTTAATTCCCTTTTACAATCCGTTGTGATAAAAACAGTCCTTTTTTCTGTTCACGCGTACAGATGTCACGCAAACGCATCGTTGAAATTGATACGAGAGCAGTCAAATGGAAATGTTCATTGAACTATGATTTCGCCCGCCTTCTTAGCGTGCCTTCGTGGTCTGCACGCAGGGCGCGTATTCCAGAGGTCCGTAGTTTGATTCCCGGCGAAGGCGTTGCTCATTTTTCATCTTTCCTGCTTCCAAAAAAATACCCAATGACTCTAATTAGAATTAAGGGAGTTATTCTCGCCATCTTCACGAAGTAATATTGGGGATTTAAGTCCAATGAAATTCCGATAACTGCTTTTTTAATAAAATTTCTATTATACATTAATAAAACTAATTGATTATTAATAATAAATTATAAAGTTTTCAATGCCAAAAACTACGCAAGGCTCGAGTTCTTAGATCTTTCTCAAAATTCGTGGAATTCAAATGTCCTATTTCCAATTTTCAGATAATAAATAGTAATTAATAGCTAAATGCATGTGTCCTTAAGTTACTTCATTTCTAATTAAATTACTCAAAAATTCCTTGAAATTAATATCCATTTGTAAAGCAGAATCTAAATCATAAATTTTACCAAAGGTTTATTAGTTTAGCATATATCAAAATTTTGGGAACAGACGATTGCAGTCCTACTGGAATGTGAAGATTTGCGATGAACCAAGTTTTACAGCTCTCTAAACGAAGTATTGTAATTTTCTAACTGCAGTTAATTATAAAATTGTTCTACAGGTTACCACTATTTTCTTAAGTAGCTACACAAAACAGAATGATTGGGCCAATACTTCCTCATTTTCCAGGACTTCCTGATTTTTGTCTCCATCGCAAAAGCGCATTGAAGTATTTTTTCAATAAATAAAGTTTTTGTAGAAACGTGTTTCGATAGATTAAACTATAAGAATTATTTCACAGATAGCTAATTAAGTCCTTTTAATCAATTTCAGTTTTTTTTTTTTTTTTTTTTTTTTCTCGAATGTGAAAGTGGCAAGAGTAAATTTCATAACACACTAGAAAGCAGAAAAAGTACGAATTTCAGACATTATGTAAAACCAGTCAGTGACAAATTTTAAAATAAAACCTATAAAAAGAAATTCGAATTCTCTATATACTTATCACAGCCTTCATCCTTTCAGCCTCGGGGACATTTCAGAGAATCAAGATGAAAGTGAGGAAAAGAAGCCGGTAGGGCTGAGGCGCCAGAGGCGGAACTCTTGGGGAAGCGGAATTCCAAGGCCCGTGGACAACAGGTCCTCGAAATCTCCTCCCCAGTACTCACCATCTGATGCTGAAGAAATGTTTGAAGAGAGGTCAACACCTGAATCAAGCCCCACCACTCCAGGTTCAAAGTTGCCTCCCCTTCTGTCAATGTTAATGCCGAAAAGCAGAGGCAAGAAGAAATCAGCCGGGAAGACAAAAGGTTTTGCTATATTCATTTAATCTTTTAAATTTGCCTTTCTAAGCTATAAGTATAGAAATGACTGAAGGATCTCATATATCACAAAACTCAGAAATACAATATTAAATCCCCCATTGGATGAAACGCATACATAACTTACTGGCAACAACAAAACGCTATCCAAACTTAAATTGCATTATGAATTTATGTGGCTCATATCACATAAATAAAAACCAAGGAAAGAGACTGAAAAACTGCCTGTGATTAGCCCCTCCCCTTCCAAAAAGAAAGGTATTTTCAAAATCATCAGAAAATCCCCGGATTCCATTACCCGCACAATTTAGTCCTATCTTACAGATAGGCATTTTGACATTCCCTTAAATAACACATATTCCACAAGCTGACTAATTAAAGCTGGTGTTCCACAGGGGTCAATAACTGGCCCGATAATTTTTTTACTTTATGTGAACGACATATCTCGTGTTTCCAACACTACACTCGCCATGTATGCGGACGATACAGGGTTCTTTTTACGAAATGCATCTCTGTGTTCAGTTAAAGATGCACTGCAAATTCACATATATGCATTGGAATCCTGGCTTAAAATATGGAAAATTAAGATTAATGGGAACAAAACTGTGGCTGTGGTGTTCGCAAATCGACAGACCATCATCATCAGCATCAGTGTGTATAATGCAGTTATCCCATGGGCTAAGCAAGTTACCTGTCTTGGTGTCGTTTTAGACCAACGATTAACAGGGAAAATACCGCATTACACACGTAACGTCCAGGTTCCGGAAGTGTAAAGCTACCATCCACCGCTTAATTCGCAGGAACTCTGTTCTTTTCTTAGATAACAAGTTACTTATTTATAAGACCGTATTACGGCCTATTGTTACTTACGCCTCTGCCTATCCCGTCTGCAGATTTGTTTGTAAAACTACTTTAAATAAACTGGAAATAACTAAAAAATGTCGCTTTGAGACAGATTTCTCGAGCATGTTGGTTCTATAGAGGGATTCTTCTCGAGCATGTTGGTTTTAAAGTTCACGAGAAACTCGGTGTGGAACACATTGCTCAATTCATGGCAAAATTGCCAAAAATATTTTGAACAAAACTGTCATTGTAAAAATGTTATTATATTTGACTAAATTATGACCCACTTAATATGGATAATCGCAAACGGCATATGAACATATGAGCTTGTAATGTTTATTGCCGATCTCTTTTGTATTCAGGTTCTTTCTATATCATTATTAGTATCTTTTTGTTTTATTTTTCATATTTAATTATTTGTGTTTTGCTTATAAACTAGTATTACTTATATTCTGCTACTTACACATTGTTTACATATGTGTCGCTGCCTATTTGCAACTCTGTTAAAATTATTACCCCGTATTTTTTGTGGGGGGAACAAAGCCGGGGTTTTGTTTGACCTGGTACTAACCTTTCTTTCAACCAATCACTAGCTTTCCTGACTCTGGCTCACCCATGACCTACAGCGCAGCACTTCTTTCATCTACAGCTCTGTTTTTTTTCTCCCAATACTCCTCACTAAACTGCACCTATTTAGTTCTCATCTGAAATGCTGTCTCCACTTTCTGAAATGCCTGTCACTCACGTTAGGCTACAAGTACTTACATTTATTAGTCTGGGATAGGGCTTCAGCCCAGGTACCCGTGCCTCGTGGCCTGTGGCTACCTAACAGACTCAACATGAAAGTGTTGATTTTGTAAATTTAAAATAAAATGAATGCTATGCAGAAAAACGCATTAAAACTACTTCAAAATGCTGGTACAGTATCAATGAGAAAGTTACGTAATGACTATCAACTAGATATGTAAATAAATAATAGAATTACAATTTAAAATTAATCGCAATTAATATGTTTGTTATTTATATGCAAGTAATGTTGCAAATCCAACAAACTTTAGTGCCAAGAAACATTTTCTATCAATTTCTTGCCAGCTGCTTAAGTGCTCAATATGATTACAAGCTAAGATCAAGACGAGAAAGGTAGCATTTAAACTCTCAGCTAAGAAAGGTAAATATTTCTATACAGAAAAAAGGTTAAACTGTGATTTTAATAAGAAAATATTTTTCCTAAAATACTAAACTCATTACCGCCGACATACAATCATTATTGACTACTACCTGTGATATAATTACCATCAGACTTGGAAATTCCAAGGCCCTTTTCAACTATCCCATCTCCGCCAACCGCTATTAGTCTCGGAATTCATGGCGATAGCGGATGACTGCATTCGCATTCGAGTTCCCAATTTCAACGGCAATTTTATTTATTCAATGGCAACATTTTTATCCTCTAAGGTAGAGGTCGCCGCTTTTTCAGATGGCCCAGACTTTCCTTTTACTATCGATTGGAAGACTCTTGTCATCGATAATGAAATGGCCGTCGTTTATCGATTACGAATGTTTTCCCTAATGTTTTGGATTCGTGTATGAACTTTGTCAGGAGGAAAATGAATAAGCCGCCCTGAAAGCCGAAGCTCGCCGTATGGCTTTTCTAGACCGGCCACAAAGGTAAAACATACAGTCCCGGATCTAGAGGGGGGCAAGCCAGGGTCTGTGCCCCGGGCGGCAAATTCAAGCGTGTTACTGGGTCGTATTTGGAATGTTGTCTAATTTTTGATACAATATTAGTAATTTTAAATACCAATTTTAAGAATATTTATAATTAATTACTAAGAAACATTTTAATGAAACAAACAGTTAAAAGAAAGCTAAGTACATCCGAATACGACTGTAAAGATAAGATCAGAGAGAGGACAATCGAGGAACTCCAGGCGTCACTGACAAGGTCAGACGACCCTGTCCTCGAGGCTCGCGCCTCTGCCAACTCAACACAGCCTAAATATAATAGATCTAGGGCCAACCTCATTTGATTTTTCACTGCCGTTCGCTTGCCTTCCCAAAAGGGATTATTGCCCCTTTTATGCAAGCTCACTTCAAAATGTCTTGCCCGATCGTATACCAACTTCGCGGAATTAATTGAAGCCCTCCTCAATTCTCTAAGGAGGTAAGAAAGGAGGTTATTTCCTACCTCCATGCAATTCTCCTCGACAACTACAATGGTCAACTTTTCAGTGCCACACTTTAATGTACAAAGGGTGACACACACAAAGAAGAAACTATGAATTACGAACGAATTACTTTCTTTTATACTCATATTATATTTTTATAATAAAGAATGATGAGTCAGAACTTGTTTATGCTCCACAGGAATTAAAAAATTTTCAAGTTGCAAATGTTAGCTGCTATATGTTATTTTTGACAATTATTATATAAAGAAGAAATTTGGGACTTAAGTAGTTAAAATCTTGCAAAGCGATAGTTAATGTACTAAAATATTATTAGCGATAGTTAATGTACTAAAATATTATCTCCCAATTCTTGAAATTAAAAGTGGTCAATTAATGTCAAAAACTAAATAGGAAAAAATTGAAATTAAACTGAGTTATCGTGTTTCTTAAAATTACCATCCATATTTACTGATGTAATTTTAAGAAGTGTAATAACCGAGTTTAATTTGAATTTTCTCCTATTTAGTTTTAACATTACTTGTCCACTTTTAACTTCACTTTGGAGGTAATGTTTAATATATCAGTTTTGACGTATGTAAACCAGATAAATTAATGAACCTACAAGAAATTGATATATATATCTACTATATATTAAATCAACCTATCAAATATCGGATTTAAGAGAAGATACTACGGTACTAATATTAATTTGTATCGCAGTTTAATTATATTTATATTTATTTTTTTTTGTTTAGATAAATATTTATGAATTTTCTTAGATCTTAAATTTCAAATTCAACATTTTAGGTAAATAGTTCTAATCTAATTTTAAAATTCTTTTCATTGAATCCCAAAATTCGGCTTGTTAAACGGTTCTAAATTCATACAAATATTGTTATAATATATGTCATATTAAGCCGTTATTTACTTTTCCAATTTTTAATCACTGAACTTGAAGTTACTTAACTTTCTTGCAGACTCCATATTTTAAGAAATATAAGAAATGATAAAAAATTTATTTTGTTTCGCAATACTTTTCTCACCGATATGCAATGAAACACATTTAATTTAATTAAACACATACACGTTTAATTAATCATTATGAACATATGAAACATGTTCATAATTATACAAAAAATTTCTAACTTCCTTCTATTCATCGCTTAAAATTTTTAATGTCCTGTTCACCCATTTCTTTTTAAACTTGCATTATATATTTATTTTGCTATACACTAGAATTTGTATATTGTTGCATTGTATTCATCCAATTTGTATTTAAGTGATAATTTTTAGAAAGTTCTGCATCATAACTCTAGTTAACAGAAGATGTTTCTAACGTCTTCGTGTTGATGAATCGTTAGTATGCATCTAATTTTCAGTTTAAGTTTAGGTTTCAATAAAACTATTTTTAAAGAGAGATGACGCTGAGTTATGCTAATAATATCTCTAACTGTCGCTATTTATAATACAAGTTAACGTGATTAATAGTATAGCTCATTTACAATTTTTATAAAAATTTTCAGCCATACCGGAAATAATAGCAAATGCTCCTAATATTTTGATTACATTTTCTTCTTCCTTTATATTTTTGTGATATAATGTTTCATGATTGCATAGAGATAAATATAATTCATTTACCAGATATGTAAATCTATATTCAGCGCACTTTTGCGTTAACTAATATTGTACTTTCTATCTTCTTTAATATATTGTTCAACACACAGCATCTCAAGACTAATTTCAAGAGCTGTGCGTTCACCAGCGATAAAGCGGTAAAGTCATTAAACATTGGTAATTTGACCGAAGTTTCAAATTCAAGAGAATGATTTGGCTGCATGACAGTTTTCGTGGCTTTTCCTCATATGTAACGTGAGTACGAGCCAGTTTATCTTGAAAATTTGCTCCTACTTGTGACCGAATTGAAAACCGCTGTACGCTAGGTTCAATCGCAGGTGAACAAGTTGGCTGAGGCAGATATCCTTCGGGTACTTTGCCAT